GTGAAAATTTTAATTTATTCAGCATTTTCCAAGTGCTATGCTAGAGTTTGGAGATACAAAGATGAATGGGATATATCCCTACCCATCAGAGGTTTACAGTCTGGTGTGGTAGAGTTCTAAGTATGCCGTAACAACAGTGGCCAGCACTTATTGAGCATTGACCTTGGTAGATTTGATGCTAAGCTCTTGACATAATATACCCCCTAACCAATCCTGTAGGTATCAGTATCTCCATTTCATAGATGTGGAAATCAAAGCACAGAAAATTAAGTAGCTTGCTCAAAGTCCTTTGGACGTCAAGGGGCAAAAGCAAGGGACTTAAATCCAGGAAGTTATTCTTAAATAACATGTGATATATGCATTTAAAAATGTGCCTGGGGGTGCCTGGGTGGCTCAGTCGGTTCAGTGTCCAGCTCTTGATTTCCACTGGGGTCATGATCTCTGGTCCGGGGATCTAGCCTCAGGCTCGCTGGGTGTGGAGCCTGCTTGGGATTCTCTCCCTCTCCCTTCCCCGCCCCCCGCCCCCACCATGTGCATGCAGGTGAGCTCTTGCATGAGTTCTCTCTCTCTCTCTCTCTCAGAAAAAGGGGGAGCCTGGAGAGGTTTTGTGAGTTACAAAAAGGAAACTTTAAATTCTACCTAAAAAGGTCAGAGAGGGCTTCCTAGAGGAAGTAACATTAGAATTGAGACCAGCAGAAGGAGAAAGAAAGGAAGGCATTTTAGGCGAAGGAGCCTCGGTGAGAAGGAGTGGGAACTGTAAGAAGGGAGAAAGCTTGAACTTACCACTTTCTGCCTATTTGTTTATGTGGTTTTCTCTGCCTGGGATTTGTTCTACCCTCAACTCTCCCATCAGTTATTCCCCTTGGAAGTGGAACTCTCCTCTGCACTCCAAGAGCCTTGTCACGGCCATTATGTGGTGCCCAGTGCACCCTGCCTTGAACTGGACATGCGGTATCTCACCTCTGCCTCAGCAGCAAATTATGTTCTTTATAATTCTGTGGCTTCTCGTACAGTTGCATTTAATGGCAACTCAATACACATTTGCTGAACATGGAATGAATGTTAATCAGGGCAAGAGAAGTAAAATTATTGGAAAAGTTGAGCAAAAATAATCCATAATCCTTGCCAGATGGTAGTCAATTTTTTTTTTAAGATTTTATTTATTTATTTGAGAGAGAGAGAGAGTGAGCGCAGGAGCTAGGGGAGGAGGGCGGGGTGCAGACTTCCCGCTGAGCGGAGAGCTTGACACGGGGCTTTATCCCAGGGCCCTGAGATCATGACCCGAGCCAAAGTCAGACGCTTAACCAACTGAGTCACACAGGCGCCCTGGGGATGGTAATCAATTTACTTCAGGAGTAAATAAGCCAGTAGATGTTTGATAATGTAACCTACTCTAAGTAACTAGATTTGGTTGCTGCAGCTAACTTTTAAAGATACAGTGTATCCACTGGCCATGGGATGGTGGTCATGATTACTGGGGTAATCACTGAGGTGAACCCTAAAATTCTCCTTTTACAATTTCATTTATATTTGGCACCTAGAGCCTCTCAGCACTCTATCATTTCTTTTTTTAAAAAATATTTTATTTTATTTTTTGACAGAGAGAAAGACAGCGAGAGAGGGAACACAAGCAGGGGGAGTGGGAGAGGGAGAAACAGGCTTCCTGCTGAGCAGGGAGCCCAATGCGGGGCTCGATCCCAGGACCCTGGGATCATGACCTGAGCCAAAGGCAGACGCTTAACAACTGAGCCACCCAGGCACCCCTATCATTTCTTATTAGTGAAAAGAATGCTTTAACTTAAGAACTCCACCAGAATCATTACATTTTTAAAGAGTAAGCTTAACAGGATTTAAAAATACATTTATAGTGGCTTTGTGCTGTCAAACAACCACTTGAAAGCTGAAAAATATGTTCAACATACTTTTGTATTTATATCCCAGCTTGAATTTCTGTTTTGGTTCAAAAAGAAAGATTTCATTTGATTTTATTAGAAAGAAAGAAAACAGTGAGAGAGATGGAGGGAAAGAGGAGGAAGAAGAGAAGAAAGGAAGAAACGGAGTCTCTTGTTTTGATATCATACAGATGTAACTGGTGAATTTTGGAGCCACTCTGATCTTCTTATTCTCCATTACCTGTCACAGATGATCTCCCCACTAAATGGTAAATTCTAACTCCAAAATGTGTCTAATATTCCTCTTCTCTTGTCCTCTTCCATGTCAGTGTCTGACTTCAAGCCTTTATGAACTTTGGCCAGGATCTTTACAACAAGTTTTAACTGATCTCCCTAACTTTTGTTTTTGTGTGGACCCCAAACCATCCTTGACCTGTTTGTATAAATCTGAGCATGTCACTTCCCTATTACCAAAGACTCCCTGTTAACCTAATGACTGACCCCTGCCCACCTGTTTGGCCGCATCCCATGACCTTCTTTCCAATTACCTTGAGCTTTTAGCTTTTGCCTGGACTGACCTGACAAACCGATATGTGCCTGTCAAGTTCCCGTTCAAGTCTTACCTCTCTGTCAAGCTTCCCCAATTCCCTCGGGCTGGCTTGGATCCTCCGTGCCCCCGCAGTGTGCCAGGTGCTTCCCATATGTTATACTATTTAGTTCTCACAACAGCTGTTTAAAGTGGGTAGTCTTTGTTCCCTTTATACAGGTAAGAACAGTGAGGCTCAAAGAGCTAATTTGCCTGAGGTCACACAGTAAAACACTAAGTGGCAAGCTGGGATTTGAACCTTGTTCTTTCTATTTCAAGAACCTGAGTTCTTTCTGCTACACCTCCTCCTTTTTTTTTTTTTTAAATTGTATTTATTTATTCGTCAGAGAGAGAGAGAACACAAGCAGGGGGAGCGGCAGGCAGAGGGAGAAGCAGACTCCCCACTGAGCAAGGAGCCCAGTGCAGGACTTGATCTCAGGACCCCAGGATCATGACCTGGGCCAAAGGCAGACGCTTAACTGACTGAGCCACCCAGGCGTCCTGCACTGGTGTTGACTTTCATTATGGCATTCGTCACGTGTACTTCTGCTGCACTTACTGGGGATATCAGCCCACCTTTCCCCTTTCTATCTCCAAAGATTAGTGCAATGTCTGCCTCATGATAGGCAGCTGTTTATTGAGGTAATGAATGAACCAAGCAACATGCAAATAATATACAAACTCCAACTGTCTGGGAGGGAATAATATCCCTTGATCTTTTCTGGGTGGTGGTATAGAGAAGCTGAAAAAGGGGAGACCCTTCCTGAAGTGGAAGGGTTGTTGTAGGACAAGGTTAGGCTGTGCAGAACCTCCAGAACCATTTTAGGAGGGAGCTTTACATCTGCTGCTGAAAGAAGTCAGGAATGGAGACCTAGATGATTTTATTAGATTTTTGAAGGTTTGTACTGCCTAACAGTTAGATGAACTTACAATTAATCCATATAAAAATGTGCCTGTGCAAGTAACAAAGGAGCACAGGAGGAACAGGAATAGGGATGGAGAGGAGTCTTGCAGTGTGGCTTCCTGAGACCCTGAGTTTCTTTATTTGAAAATATTTTTATGTTAACAGTTTACATTAACAGAAACTATTTTTATATTAAGAGTGGGCTTTTGTTAGCATGGCTTGGTAGACTGAAGAATGTCCCTTACCCCTGACACCTGTAAATGTTCACTTATTTAGAATAAGGGTTTTTGCAGATGTGGTTAAGTTAAGGTTCTTGAGAGGAAGTGATTAAATGCAATCCCGTGTGGCCTTATAAGAGCAAGGCAGAGGGAGATCATGCGCGTGCGCCCGCATACACAGGAAGTGCGGCCCTTCCAGAGGGAGTGGGGCGTGCTGACGCCTTAATTTCATCCCAGTGACACCAATTTTAGACTTCTGGCCCCCATGACTGTAAGAGAATAAGTTTCTGTTATTTTAAGTTGGTGGTAATTTGTTACAGCAACCACAGAAACGGGTACATATTGGGAGGCAGCAGTCTGGGAATATGGTAAATACGAGAACCCACAAACAGAGAGCTGCTTGGGGTGGCTCTTCATCCCACTTTCCCTGGAAAGCATTCTGCTTTCATGTTCCAGGGGATCAAAAATAGTGTCTGCCTCTAGAACTATACTCCCCGAATCTGGGAGTGCTCCAGTAATTTTTCTCTCCCGTGATCCTCTGGTCCCAGGATCCATCACAGTTCCAGCCGTGCATATAGCATTTCTTTTGAGCGCATATGGCTGTCGCTGCCTGGTGATGGAATCTGGGAGCACAGCTATATTTGGATGAGGCCAGTTACAAGTGGGCAAACTCACGTTAATTAGCTTAGCATAAGTGTAAACCTTTAAATAGACTCAACTTTCCCCTGTTCTTGTGTCTATCACAAGAGCAGGTTTGATTAGATAATAGCTCTGATTCCTTCCAACTCTGAAATCCTGTCTCTCTCAGTAGTCTGCATTTGCTTTCAACCATGAGGCTCTAGGCCTTTCTCACTGGGTAGCTTCTTCTACCTCTAGACGCAAGTTGAGCTCTCTCTCTGGCTACATTAGTTCGTAGAGAAGGAAGAATGATTTTCTTTCTGGATCCCAGGTCCTGGTCAAAGCTTAAAAAAAACCCTTAGCTCTTGACTAATTTGGTGTCCCTGGATTCAGACTTTGGAATTTATCCACGTAGGCTTTCTTTGGTCCCAGTGACCTACATTTCACCCACTATTGTGAACAGAACTTGATCAAACCAGTCTGAATTCTTGCAAACTTCTATTCTCTTTTCCACACTTTTCTTCTTTTAATATGCTCCAGCATGTTGCTCACTTTAGGCCTCAGTCTCAATCAGGAGTTCCCCAGGCACATTCTGAGGTCCTTTAGAGCTTTCATCCTTCCTCTCTTCCTGACTTACCATAAAGGTTCAGTATGTCCCCATTTCTCACAACATCAGGGAGAAGGCTCTTCTCAGACCCTCATCTCTGCATCATTATGAACCAGCATTGGCTGGCATTTACCAGAATACTTGGAACACAGGTTGTTTTTGTAGAACACATTTCTTTTTCCTCTGACCAGATTTATTGAATAGAATAAATTGGGCATAGAATAAGAAAATTCTATGTACAAAGTGACCTGGACCTGCTTCTTCAAAACATGATCCTTTCTTACTAATATTTGGATAAGTCAGTCCATTGAGTGTCAAAAAGCAGCTTACTCTAAAATTAATAGAAAAGTGCCCAATGCACACTAAATAAATGGCCTAACTACTGGGACTTTCATAGTTCTACAAGATAATTTACACAGGTAGGATTCAGCCCTGATGACAGGCTGCTGGAAAACTGGTATGAGCCGTCAAGAGGCCATCTTGTGCACTGCCAGGGTGATGCCGTCATGTTTCTGGGTCATAATGTTCCCATTTTTTTTAAACATTTTTTTTAAAGATTTTATTTATTTATTTGACAGAGAGAGAGAGACAGCGAGAGAGGGAACACAAGCAGGGGGAGCAGCAGAGGGAGAAGCAGCCTTCCCGCTAAGCAGGGAACCCGACCCCAGGACCCCAGGATCATGACCTGACCCGAAGGCAGACGCTTAATGACTGAGCCACCCAGGTCCCCCATAATGTTCCCATTATCTGATTCTAGACACACCACAGGAATATCAGTGGGGTCTGAGGTCAGCTTAGCTGCTTGCTGGGCTAGAACAGATATCACCCCAGCATGCTCATCTGACAGGGTCCCACGGCAGCCCAGATTAAGTCCTTGTGAATCTGTGCACAGGACTCCAACAATGGATGGATTCTTCATTGTATCCTCCAAGAGCTGCTCCAAGGTGGCCTCCATCCCACCCGCCATCCTCCTGGCCCAGGATCCTGCAGCTCGTTGCTTCCTTCTCCACCCTGTGAACACATTTTGAGCACCTACTATAAGCCAGATATTTCATAGGACTGGTGTTCCAACTATACTTTAGAATAAGATTCTAAACAAGAATAAATAAAAATGAGAAATACAAAATAAATAAAAATAAAGAATAGGGAAAAATAAGATATTATTGTAATTAAGAAGGTAAGATGATCACACAAATAATAAGATCAAGTGAATGCTGCTGAAAAATTATGGAAAGAGCCCTGGATACAGAAGCCAGTAGATCTAGGTTCTAATGCTTAATAGGACACTCACTATGAATGTGAATTTATGAGCATCAGTTTTCTCATATGCTGGTGGGTCTGTGGAAACTCTACTTAGTGAAGTTCTTGTATGGATTACATAATGTAAATGTATGCAAAAGTGCCCAGTATTATCTCTGGTATAGAGGAGATCAGTAAGAGATTCTTAAGTTGAAGTAATACAAGAGAAGAGGATTTACAGGAAGGAGAGGTCATAGGTGGTTGAGTGGATCTATGGGATTTTGTGGAAGACGTGGCATTTAAGACAGGTCAGACGGGTAGCTCCTCGGGGCAGGGAAGCTTTCAAATTACTTTTTTATCCTTTGTATTCTACACATAGACTGTGCTTAATATACATTGAATGAATGGACTTTGAAGGATGGATAGGAGTCTGAAGGATTGCAATGGACTTGGAGAAAGGGCATTCCAGGTAGAGGAACATGGGAAGGTGCCCGTCATGCTGGCAGAACAGTATTCTAGTTTGACAGGAGTGTGAAGAAGTAGTAGAAGTAAGAGTAAAATGTAAGCTGGGAATATTACATGGGCTTTGAAAGGGTTTTCAATAGCCTGGGCAGTTTGTATTTAATTCAGTGTGGTTACTTTTTTTTTTTTTTTAAGTAGGCTCCATACCCAATGTGGGGTTCAAACTCATGACCCTGAGATCAAGAGTCGCATGCTCTACCAACTGAGCCAGCCAGGTGCCCCCAGTCTAGTTTTCAAAATTCCTCTGTCTCCAACCAAATTTTGGAGAAGGGACTTTTTTGTCATGCTTTCTGGGTTATTGAGAGTTTACCGTTATTGCCATCTGATGTGTTTCTACTGTTTTTGGAAGGGTTTGGGCAGTCCTTGCTATAGATAAAGAGATTCTTTTTCTATATGCTAAAGAAAACAGATATGAAGAGACTGGTACGAAGAAGGAATAGGGAGGTAGATAAGTTTTTCTTTGATTATGCCCAAACTTTGTCTTTTTTTTTTTTTTTAAAGATTTTATTTATTTATTTGACAGAGAGAGACACAGCGAGAGCAGGAACACAAGCAGGGGGAGTGGGAGAGGGAGAAGCAGGCTTCCCACCGAGCAGGGAGCCCGATGCAGGGCTCAATCCCAGGACCCTGGAATCATGACCTGAGCCGAAGGCAGACGCTTAACGACTGAGCCACCCAGGCACCCCCCAAGCTTTGTCTTTCTTAAGTCCTATGCTAAACATTAATAGCTTTCAAGATTTTTGGAAAAATCATAAAATCCAAGTCAAAGAAGCTACATATTCAAAGGGACAATTCATGATTTTTGCATGAATATTGGTGGCCACCAATAAAGTAGCCAAATGTATTTGAACCCAGGATTTTCCATATGCTGAATTATTTGAAGGAATAAAGCAAAACAGTCTTAGGGCTTGAACCAGCCTTGTCCATATTTCATTTTATAATTAGGTATTATATTTTAAATACTAGTATCCCTGAGACAGGTAATACTAAGAGGCAGAAGCAACTGGGGAATGTACTGAGCTACCTGGAGAGGAGGAGGCTAAAGACAGGTTTGACTGTGGTATTTCATTGACTTGCATATGACCTCAATTATAAGTGCGTCACTATTTTATGTACCATTAAGAAAAAAAAGTGCTGCCAATTATGCTTAACAATCATTCTGCACTAAACCTGAATTGACCATATTGGCTTATCATTGCTTTGGCATTTCTTGCTTCTCTTCTGAGGTATTTGGCCCTATGGCCTGCTTTTCAGTTGTATTGCTTGGCAGGAGGCAGGCAGTCCTTTTCATGGATCTCTGTAACAAAATGCAACTCAACCGCCTCTATCTCTCATTTAGATCCCAAAAGACAATTAACTGTTGCTTTGCAATCCAAGGATTGTGGTCATTTTCCCAAAGATAAATATTTATTCCACTAATATTAAATTTGTCCTGCAACTTCATTCCCCTGCCTTTTTATTTATACAATGATTTTTTGTTCTGATATCAAATCAGTAAAATCTTCTAAAGACATATAAAAATGGCGATTAAATCCAGCACTAGCTATGAACAAATCTCAGTTAAAGTGACTGCAATATGAACAGCTATCACCAAGTTCGTGTGCATGCAACCAGGTCACAATAGCAACTTCATGGCAGACAATTCTAAGACTCTGTTGATTATAAGACACACTCCCGATGTAGAGTTGTTAAAATGTGAAGAAAACATGCATTTTAGGAGTAGTGGAGCACGTTTACTTTAAAACTTGGCCAGAGACCCTCCTACCTCTTGCTGAAGTATTGCTTCTATCACTAAAGACTAAATTAGTTGAGCCACATCCTCTTGTGGTTCTGGTTTCTTGATGTGCACTAACGGGTGTCCTAAAACCATCATTTGGTGACCACATTCACCTGACCAAACAGCTCACCAGAGGGGTGGCTGAAGCACTGAGCATCCATATTCTTCTTTTTTTTTTTTTAATAATGTTTTTATTGTTAAACACCATACATTACATCATTAGTTTTTGATGCAGTGTTCCATGTGAGCATCCATATTCTTAAACTTTGTTTCCCAAGTTGGTGGTTGTGTGTATATGGGCAGAGGCATCATATGCTTATTTGCCTTTGTTCCATTCCACCCATAATATGCACCAGTTAGGAGTTTATTCAGTGGATAATTTTGTGCTTTTCTTGTCTGATGGACTTCTGGCTGGTCCTCATTTAGTAAAGCCTATCTTTTCATAGACACAGGAAAACCTATGTTGAAATCACACAACTTATCCTCTGTGAGTCCGTGTCACTATTATCACTGTGAGCATGCTCAAGTCAGGCATCCTAGTACTGCAGAGTGTGCCCCACAAATAGAGATGTGGGAAACCTGCCAAAAGAAATCAAACTGTCAGTCTTTTTATCTTCCAGGCAGAAGGTTGAGAGATACATCTCTATTTTGGCAGCCTTCACTCTGAGTTGAATGAAACTTGAACTTTCCTCTTAGCAGTCTATCTAGAGCTTCATCTCTGAAGACTCCTTTTTCGTGGCTGATTATTTGAAACATGGGTAGATTTAAGTGTTACCCTACCTGTTTTTCTCCAGTCAATTACTGGTAAAATAAAATTTAAAAAACAAACACTGAGCAGGACATTGTGAAAGAGAATAAAGAAAGACTCAGCAAACTGGCTGGATAGTCCTGAAAAGTCTGCAGGAGGGGATGAGTAGGGGAGATAGAGCAGAGGCTTTGGTCCTTGGAGCATGAAGAGGACAACGTCAACGGGTTGCTGGGTGTACTCATCCTGGGAACATCCTTTGGACTTCTCTTGGGGTGGAAGGGTTCTTGATTCCTGTTTCTGATCTTACTCCTACTGCTATCTCTGGAGGTTTGCTTCTGCTCTAATCTGCAGGGTGCAGTCTCACAACTGGCTAGATGATGAAATGTGATGATGTTTAAAGCACCAAACACAATGTTCGGTGCAAGTCAGACAAATCTTCTTATTAGGAAATATATATTCTGATCATTTGGTGACCACATTCATCTGACCAAACAGCTCGCCAGAGGGGAGGCTGCAGCACTGAGCATCCATACTCTTAAACTTTGTTTCCCAAGTTGGTGGTTGTGTGTATATGAGCTGAGGCATATCTAATTTAGCAGGTATACTCTTTAACACTTTTGACTAAGCATTAATGGAGCTGACACAGTTAGCCAGCATTTGTTTTATCATTATATTAAGCAAACAAAACAAAACAAAGCAAAACAAAGCTCAAATTTAAATTTAAGTGTACAATCCTTCCAGTGGGGAAAAATTTCAAAGGGAAATCCTTGGGCACAAGTGAGTTTATTCCTTAAAAACAAAATGAGTGCCTTAAAACATATTTCTTCCTTTCTTGAGGTTGAAAACATTCTTCTAGGAAGTTGCTATTTACAGAAAATAAGTGGCATAGACTTTTTTTCCAAACTTTTAGAAACCAGACTTACTAAATCTCACTTAAGTTGTCAAAGGACAACACTGTTTGGAAACATCTTAAATATTATGATCTTGGGGTATTTGAATATTTAAAGGAGAATAAAAGTAATTATTTGTTAGATAGCATGAATTGTTTTTTTTAATTGTTTTTGGGGTGATAAAAATATTGTATATCATGATCATGTGGTGATTGTACAATTATAAACATTTGTCAAAACTCATTGAATTGTGCTCTTAAAGTTAGTGAATTTTATTGTATGTAAATTAGGCTTCAATGATGCTGACCAAAAAAGTAAAGTATTCTGGGATTTAGAAAAGGACTCACTAGAATTCCAAGGAAGGGAGTTTCTATGGACAACCCATGACACCAAGGTCATAGATGGGAACAGAAATTATTTTAACCAGAAGCCAAATGTAATGAACTGTTAAGGAAAATGATTTTATTTCATTGTACTTTACATGCCTATTTTTTTTTAAAGATTTATTTGTTTATTTGAGAGAGAGAGAGAGAAAGAGCACAAGCAGGAGGGGCAGAGGGAGAGAGAGAGAGAATCTCAAGCAGACTCTGCACTGAGCACAGAGCCCAACGCGGGACTCATGACCCCGAGATCACGAGCTGAGCTGAAACCAAGAGTCAGACACTTAACCGACTGTGCCTCCCAGGCACCCCTGTTGTACTTTACATGACTATTATACTCCCCAGTATATTTGAGATCTTTCCACTGTGACAGTCACTTGTTTGTGTGGAGATGGAGTGGGACAGCAGTGAGGGGCTGGGGGTAAGTGTGCCTCACACAAAAATGAAAGG